CTTTCCTGCTCCTCTGATGCTGCCTGGCCTGCTGTGTTCCTCCAGCTCCACACTGTGTTATCTCTGACTCCAGCATCGGCAATTCTTACTATCTCATCATTAAGTAACTTTTCTGAGTTGTCTTCCTTGGATCCAAAGTGATTGACTTTTCATTTCTGCAAGCGTTATCAACTGCCATATCATGCACCGTTCACCTCATGGGACGGAGGGGAAATACATATATTCACCCGACCCATCCCCATTCCTCGGAGCTGTTACAAAAGAGGTCTTCCCACTCCCACCCTTCTGCCCATACTAACTATATTATTGCCAGTGTAACGTCCAGGTCAATTGGCTTGGCAGAAAGTTCAACTCTGGGATAAATATTTGCTTTCAAGTTGGTTGTTGGGCTGTCCATTTGGCACCCTCAACCCCCCACCATCACCAATTCATGGAGTGTGGATCGGGGGCGAGTGCGAAAGCAGTGGGTTAGCCACACATCATATTGTACACAGCATACTCTGTTCATACAGAAGCCCAAGGGGTGGCATTAAATCCAGAGGTGGCTTCCTTTCACCATCTGTTCATGTCTCAGTGCATTCACTAGTTTAGAATGATCTACAGATTGAATATGCAAATCGACATTGCTTTGTCCTAGTCATTAATATGTAGTGAGAAAAGTTGAGGTCCAAGTTCATGTTCCTGGGAATACCGTCCTGCTGATCAGTGGATTTTCCCTTTATCCTTACATTCTCTTCTCTACCTTCCAACAAGGGGGCTGATTAACTGAGTTGAGTAGATGGTCAGTATGCTTTTAAACTAATGCCAATGATGTGGGTTTAATTCCTGCTATAGATGTAATAGACTTCAGACCTGCCTCCTTGCCCTATCCTCTGCTTCTTGATGTGGAGTAGTCAGCTTTATTAAGTCATTGCCTCCCACGCTAATAGAGAGATGCCTTTGGCCCCTGGTAGACTATGGCTAATCATGTATACATCTTCCTACTATAACATGGTCTTTCTGCCACTCTGTCATCTTTAGCTCCATCTAGTTTCATAATAATACTGTACCAGATAAGAGGTGAGCACACCTCACATTAAAATGCTCAATATCAGGAAGCAAGCATGTAAATAACCCAAACTCACATGAAGCAGTTTTTAGTTTTAGTGGGCAGCATGATGCTTCAGTGGTCAGCACTGCTGCCTCACAGCGCCAGGGGACCTGGGTTTGATTCTAGCCTCAGGCAACTGTCTGTGTGGAGTTTGCATGTTTTCCCCGTGTCTGTGTGTGTTTCCTCCAGGTGCTCCGGTTTCCTTCCACAGTCCAAAGATGCGCAGGTTAGGGTGGATTGACCATGCTAAATCACCCGTAGTGTCCAGGGATATGGAGGCTAGGTGCATTAGCTATGGGAAATGCAGCGTTACAGGGATAGGGTAGGGTCTGGGTGGAATGCTCTTCAGAGGGGCAGTGTAAACTTGATGGGTCAAATAGCCTGCTTCCACACTTTAGGAATTCTATGATTAATCCGCACTCCAGTCCACTCTACCTTGTGAATAATCAATTACAGTTATTAAATGTTTTCTAATTTTCTGCACCTTTGTTAGCTTTTCTTTTACTACATTTCTCCAGTTGCTGTCATATGGCCTAAGAGATAGAAAATGACATGCAACTGGAGATGGATCAACTTTAAAATTAGGAATCAAAAGATTATAGGATTTCTAAGGGTGTGCCTGAAGTCAGATTGATTAGAGATAAGTTGGCTAACCCCTGAAAACACATGCAGGGTTTGTGATGCATCATTAGCCTGCAGTCGCTGATGGAAATTCAGACAACATACCATTTTTATATTGCCCTCTCATCAGCAAAATCTCTGCCTGCAGTCAGGGTTAACCACAATGTTCATTGGCTAATTGCATCAGGAGGCCTAGAGTCAGAACTTCCTGGAAAGTCTTAAAGCCAGCCTGCACTTCTTACAGGAGCGATGGATGGTGGGTGAAAGCAGCTGTATAATAAGTATGTATGTTCTGGAAAATAGTGAAGTATGGTACAGCACGAGAGACCGTGGGATCAAAGGCTTCCAATGCTGCACTGTACACCTTTGTGTAAGGATATACGGAGAACCATCCTTCAGAAACATGGCCATTGGGAGCAGATAGCTGTGGAGGCCAATGCCCCAAGGACTTACACAAAGTGAATTTGTTGAACTCACTCATATCAGTGATTGAGGAATGGATCTTCAAATGCCATGTCCAACCATTGCACAAGCCTCAGCCACCGTTCCAATCACCTCACCTACATTACTCACAAGGACAAATAATTAACATGCGTGTGCTTCACTGCACCCTCCACACTTAGCACTCCTGCAAGCCTCATATACATGCTTTTGCACTCTACCAGTTATTCAGATACTAAAGCAGTCACCAACTAAATGCAGCAAGATCTGAACTGATAGTGGCAAGTGAAGTTCACGTCACACAAATATCAGACAGTAACCATCTCCAATGAGAGAGAATCTAACCATGCCGACTGATGTTTAATGTTATTTCCATTGCTGAAGCCTCCAGTATCAATATCCTGGGGTTACTATTGACCAAAAAC